GCTTGTCTGACCACTCACAAGAGGGGATTTTTACTTGCCAAATAAAAGAGGCAATGTCATTGCCCAAGCTATGGATCTCTTGCCTAGATTCTTATAAATTGAGAACTAACCAAATTGAACATGTAGCATCATTCAAATCATCGATCAGTCTACTCCAAATCAATGATCCAATAGTGTGTGTTCTCTTCTAAACCACACTTAAGGAGCTGACCCTTTGGTGGTTCAATAGTGTGCCAACTGAAACCATCATAAGTTAATACGAGTTTAAAAGACTCTTTGTTTCACACTTCTCAAATGTGGAAAAGACAAGGAAAGAATCAAACACCCTACTCAACCTCAAGCATGGAGAAACTGAGAGTCCAAAATGAGATGTTGGAAGTTAGAGACCTGAAGCCTGAAATAGCAAGAACAGATTTGAAGCAATCCATTCAGGTATGAACTAAACCTATTCAAACCTACTATTTTTGTAGACATATTGGAGATGACAAACGAGCATATACTCACCAAAGAAGACCTTTAAGGCTTTCTGAAGGGTAATTTGGAGTCGCCCGACCATCCCTTGAAGTAGTGAAAATAATGGAGCAAAATACGTAAGGCGAAGGACAACCGGTCCTCCGCCGGTCACCAAAATAACAACTCTCCTTCTCAGAATCAACAAAGAAATAATCAAGGGCACATGACTAGAAGTGACACTGATCAACGTTTGACTCATATTACGAGCACCCTCATGTTTACTGAGAAATTCATGGTGTAACGCCTCTCAATGTGTTATTGGATAAAATAGTTTAGGCCATCCAGAATAAGGACTATTCCACTGAAGGCAGCCCCAACTTTGCGAGATCTGAAAAGGTATTACCAGTACTATTGTAACAATAATCATAACATGGAGGAATGTCATCACCTCCAAAACTTGATTGAGAAACACATACATGTCTGAAGCTAAAAGTGTTCGTTGTAGTCGGCACACACACACACAATGGTAGGGTAAAGCTCCTGTGGGAGAACCCACAAATAGGATTTTCAAGGCAAGTGGATTCCATGTAGCAGGGATAATCACAACCATCTTTGAAGAAGGACCCTGACCCACTAGCATAAAGAGGCCGCATTCGAGAGAGGTATGCTCCATCATCCCGTATACATGTAAGTGTATACCAATTGTCTTTACATATGTTGATCTCCCACCAAAGGGGAACCCCTCCAAAGAGGTGATTGTCATCACAGTGCTGATCAACAACTACCAGTTGGGGAGCATTCTTGTTGATATAGGGATTTAGGTGAACATCTTATTCAAAATGGTGTTCGATAAGATCAGTCAGAAGGCCAACCATTTGATAGCACCTATCGGCCAGTTGTTCAGATTTTTCAGTGAAAGGAAGGAGGCACTAGGTCTCATCACCCTAGGCATCTCTTACAGAGAACCTGAGAAGCAATATACCATCATGGAGTTGAATATCTATCGACCTACAATGCTATCTTCTGTCGGCCACCTCTGAACAACTATTGTCAATGACTTCTACCTCCTATGTGGTTGTAAAGCTTCTAGGCGACAGGGAGGGGATTACGATTTAGAAGAACCTGAAGCAGTCTTGATATTACTATTTGCCAGTGGTTTCAAATATTGACCATGAACCACATGATATCAAGATCCAAAGGGAGGGTGGTCTCAAGACCAATGAGGCCATCCTCCAAGTACCTATCTTTAATGAAGAACTAGTAAGAGCTTCCTAATCAGTGAACATTTTGATATAGTGTTCAGGAAACAACTTATACGGATGCATTGGGAGCATGATCTTAAAACTGTTTATATGCAATAGTATAACAATGACTTTATTATAGTTTTCACTTATATTTCCTTATTTTATAACTGTGCCAAAAACTTGATCCTGAAAAAAATAAGAATTTAACTTTTCAATTTATATATATTGGGATACTACGCAAGTATATGTATCATTATCAAGTAATAGAAGACTTTTAGATTAAGACATGAATATTAAACCCATAGGGAGAATACACAATATGCACTTTTGAACATCAACTTTCTATTCTAAAAATACAATTACTTGAACTACAAATATTTTTGTAGTATTTAAAATTCAAATATTTTTAGTATTTTTGATATATTGAAAGAACAATATCAATTAAAAAAATAACTTGAGTTTATGTAAAAGAAAAG